CAGTGTGGGTGTGGGTGTGGGTGTGGGTGTGGGTGGGGGTGGGGGTGGGTGTGGGTACGGATTAACTTGTCCATCACACTCACACCCACACCCACACCCATTTTCTGTATCAACATTACTAAAAGCCAACAATTTACTGACAATTCTTATTTTCCTACTTTTTTGTTTTGACTTTTACATTCTACCACTTCTAAATAGCAATTGCTTCCTGTATGTTTTACTTCTCATCATTTTTTATTGGTTGAATTCATTTATTACATAGGTTATTCGTACCACTCAATTTTTTCTTCATAGTTACCTATTCTCTTGCTTAAATGTAGACGATCGAGTATCTTTGCTTTGTTCTTTTTTTCTGCTGTAGAAAATATTTTCAAGCAGCCTTCTGAGTAATTATTTTGTTGCATCATTAATGAAGTCATCTGGTTTCCAGGTTATATTTTAAATATAGTAGACCCTTGAAAGCTTGGCGTTCAACATTGATATTCTACCAATGAAACGTATTTTCAACTCCTACTGTTGCATTATATTAGTCTACTCAAACACTACATAAGGATATTTCTACGCAACTGAAATGCGAGTGAACATCTTCGCATTATCTCTTTCAGACACTCACTCCAACATCACACAACTATTTAGTTGTTCTTTTTCTTTCTAATCAATTTTCACTATTTCTTCCATTGTGTCACGACAAAAAAGCACGTTGCTTAATGGACATTCGGCGTATTCTGTATGGCCACGATTGTCACAGGATACCTGGGATTTTAACAATATCAATCTGAGTTCCAGAAATTCCTTTTTAATCTCTATGCTTATCGTTCTAGTTCTGGAAATCTGATTGAGTTCAGAGTTAGAACTTCATAGCTTCATCACATTGTTAGAAAGATCCCATTTAACTGTTAAGGGAAAACGTTCTGTCTTGGAATTATTGACATTTAACCTGATTACAATTGTATGAAGTTTATTGGGACCAAAGGACAGTTGACTTTTGTTATTTTTATCGAAAAAAATTCGTGGTAGAATATCAAATAGCATCAAGAAAAAAGATGAACAAGAAATGTGCTATATCAAACGAACTCATAGCATCCTATCTATAACTTTTTATGTCTGTTATCATCTGACTGTGAATATGCCTAAATGGATCAGGTAACAGCATAAACTTCCTATTGACCAGAAGATAAGAGGCTGACTCCTATATCTATACAGCTTTTGACAGGAGTTTTGACACAAAACTAACAAATGTCAAATGAAAAGAGAATAATGCCAGAGACTCTCACTGCATGGTATTGAGATTTATTGCTAACTAAAGAAGAAGGCAAATCATGATTTTGTCATAAAATCAAGTATTTTTCTCTGATTTATATATAAGAAAGCAATGCCAGATTTGAAATAGTAGTTTGACTTGTGTCAGATGAAAAGCAATGTTTTTCGCCAGAAGCAACAATAGCACCCTTGTTTCAAATTAGGCAATTACACTTAGTGTGCTTTGTTTTATTGCAGTTTTTCTCATTTGATACTCAGCAATATTAACATTAAAACTAGAAACAAGATGACAGATCTGAGGGTGTGGGTGGGTAGAGGTGTAGGTATGAAGGATAAAGAGAAGCTCCACACACACCCTTTCATGCTTTTCCGGTGGGAAACGGTGAGTTCCTTGCCGGTTTCCGATAGTTCCGCTAGGTTCCGAGTTTTTTACCGTTGATCTCCAGTGGCCGGAAATTAGCGGAACATTCGGTTTCCGGGTACGAGAAATTTTCGGCCGAAATACTGCTTCCATGTTCCGGATATTTTTCCGGCCGGAAAGACACCGGAAACGGCGGGAAAAGACCGAAATCGTTGACCTGGGTCGGTATTCTTTTTTTGTTTTGATTTTTGAATTTTCAGTATTTTTGACACTAAAGACATGGGCAAATTGATTTCCTAGTTTAAAAATATATTCTGTTACTCTATATGAGAAACTAGCAAACGATGTTTATAGCATTGATTGTGGCAATCTTAGACTTTATTTAATGTTTGTTTCAACAAAGCAGTAAAATAATTGACAGTTCTAATTAGGACGATAAATATTTTTGTTATATCACTATTGTATAATGCCGACCAATGGAATAAAACTTGAAAGTAAACTATTAATAGAATTGAACCGAGTAGTCGGGTAGTAGTTACACAGTTTCCGAGGACTTGATGATCATTAAGCTACTTGTTCAAATACTACAGTCGGTGAGATCGGTTGCTGTATTTCATTTTATTCCTTTTACATGTTCTCCTTCGGAAAAAGTACAAAATCAATTACAAACCCGTCCATATCATCCGTCTCGTTTTTATTTTGCATAAACTGTTTAAAACTCAGCTATCGATTGTTTGCACAAAACTTACTACTTCAATATTCTATTCTTTATGGGGCTACGTAGAGGGATCATTTTTGGCCTACTGAACTAATCATGCCGTCCCACAAATACAACTCGCACTCACATCAAAGTATGTAGCAAGCTATTCATTAATATGCTATTATGCACAATGTCATCGTGTTGAGACCAACGAATCTACACTTTCCTTTTTTACTTCGCGAAGAACAGACGCATTGTTTGTACTTGTATTCCTCCTTCTGTGCCTTATCTCTTTCTTCGGAGTGACTCATTATCACACGATGGAAGCGCAGTATTATAACTGTCCAAGTGGTGGACAGAGAAACTCAAGAAATAATGGTTCTAGTAGTAAAAAAATCAATAATCGTCGACAAGAAACACAAGATACTGGAAATTATGATCCACGGATCAATGAAATTGGTGAATTACAAAGAAAAGATATAATAAATTCCTTCGCAAATGATGAAACACTTTTAAATGATTTTTGACTCTTTCGCCAACAGCAACATCAACAGTCACTTGCACCCCAAATTCCCGATGAATTCGGTACCTGCGAGGAGCAAAATGTGGTGTTCAATGAACAGCAACGACAAATTTATTTAAACAATCATAATCATAAAAATATTCCAACTAGAGAGCAATTGCAATTACAACCAAATGCATCGACACCGAACAAAAGAAGATTAAATGATAGTGCTGGTTCAGGTGGTCCTCCAACACCAAAACAACAACGTTCAGGTAACAACCAGGCTCAACTACTTCAGGAAGAGAGTCTTGCTCAAAGTAAACAACCATCGGCTAATATACCAACGAATCATACGTATCAGAATAAAATTCCTTTTGATCAGATTAAACGAGCGGTCTCGAGTAATTTGCCATGCTTCTATGTAGTTTTCAATCGTTCAACTAACACTCAGCAAATACCATCGGCCTTTAATATTGCAGAAAAAATTGTTGAAAATCTAAAACAAGAAGGTGTTCAAATGAATAGATTTACATTCGTTGGCTGGGCAGGAACGAAACTAAAATTAGGTGTTAATAGCAAAGAGGATTACATTAAATTAGTGTCAACCGACAAATGGCCTACGAAAATCATGGATGTACCGATGATCGTTCAAAAACCGAAGTTTATTCCAGATTGCTTCGCATTCGTTATTCGATATGTACCGCGAGGCATGGATCATGCCTTTGTAAAAGAAGAGATATCGAAATCAGTCGGATCAATCGATAATGTAAAACGAATTCAATACGGCTATACGCGAAAAATGGATGATTATCGCTTCAACGTGAAGGACTTTAGTGACTACGACAGAACGCTAAGTATGGGACGTATATCGATAGGAAATATTATGTTACCCATCACATCTTTTCTTCAAGGTAATAAAATAACTTACTGCACCAGATGTTGGTGCATTGGACACTTGAGAGATAAATGTCAAGCATCATCTGCTCGATGCCGTATATGCCTTCAAGAAATTGCTGAAAATCAAACGCACATTTGTTCTTATCAGCCACGATGTGCTCAATGTGATGGAAACCATCACTCGCTTAGTAGTCAATGCCAACCGATTAGAACATATAAGGCTCATCTGAAAGAAGAAGTCGATAAGGCACTCTCAAGTGGTATACTACGTCGATTAGAACCACCAAAACAAACTTCAGAATTTAATTCTGAAGATTTTCCAGCTATAACAGATCAAGCGCAACGTATCATACCTGTTTGGGGTAATAAGCATATACCTCAGCAGCAGTCAACTTTTGAATCAGCTAATATTACCAATGCTCTTACGGCACTTACTAAACAACTAACTATTATGACAGATAATAACCTAAGAATGGAAAAGAAGCTCGACGAAACGAATGTACGACTGAATCATGAAGCACAAATGTCGGAATCATTGCAAAAGTCTGTAAAAATATACTACAATCTCTAAAGGATGTGATGGCAAAGATCGTTTATCCATTATGTGAATTGAAAAGAGTAGATCCCGTCGGTAAATATCTTCCGTTTTCAACCATTCTTGATGAATTAACAGCTGATACCAATATGGATAGGAATACATTACATGAAACAGCAACCGCCAAGTCAACTAATGATACAGTAACATCATTTGCTGTTGATAAATTGAACAACCATGAAACATAATGGCGCAGCTTCGTCATACAGCTAAGAGTTTCTATCCTTCTTCTTTTTCTACTACTCTCTCAGATAGAAAGGCGCATGCGTTGTAGCAATTGTTTCAATGGAGACTCTCAGAAAAAGATAATCAACTTCTACTTAGACTGATTGATGAGTGGTTTTCGAGTAGTACGTTAGATACTGTTTTACAAAATTGTGAATTACGTAAGAGTCATTGTCCTCCCTCACAAAAGGTACCTCTAAACATTCTAAGCTATAATGTTGAAGGTTGGGGAACGCGGTATTTAGAAGCAGTAGACCTAGTGTATAAAGTAGATGCATCAATTAGTATTTTCACAGAAGTCGGTGAACTATGGAATACATTTTCTTTACCACATTTTAACACTTTCCACTATCAAGGTACAAACCGTAGTGGAGGAGTCAGTGTAGCAGTAGAAAAACATCTCAAAGCTACTCAAATAGACATAAAAGTTGAAAATACTGTTATTGTCGACGTTGTAGGCCTCTCCGATCCCATACGTATAATTGGAATATATTGGCCTCAAGGTCATAAACGAAACCTCGATGATATACGACCTTTCATAGTTGAAGGAACAATCATCACAGGGGATTTTAATGCTTCATTAGAAGAATGGAACAGTCCATCGTCAGATAAACGTGGGAGAATTTTGAAAGAATGGATAGATGAGAACAACCTCGTATACGTTCCCTCCACTTCACACACATCTAAGCGCTCTTTACGTAACCTCGGTCTGACTTTGTCGGATATTGATGGTATAGGTGCACAAACTTTATTTTTTGGAACCAGTGATCACTGGCCCGTTGTAACTACATGTGAAAATGTAGGCCTTGAAATGACAAATTCTTATCCATTTGTTCGATGGAAGGCGTTTGAAGGTATGTTGGCTCTTCTTCAGAATTTCTGGATAAGAGAGCAAAATGGCATGTCAGCAGATGAATGGTACCACTTTTATACTCGATTTCTTGCAGCAGTGAAAAATAGAGTAATCACGTGGAAGGAAAAAGAAAAATATCGGCCATCGCTGCCGCCTAATATAATAGATAAGCTGAAAAAAGTCAGACGTGTAAGAAATACTTATTATAGAGAAAGAATGAGTGGATGTCAAAATGAAGAGACTCGTGTTTTATTACGAGTAATGACGCGGGAAGTTAAAACAGAAATCGGCAAGTATAAATCGAATAGATGGCAATCCTTTCTATCAACAATTCAAGAGAAGTATGATAGACCAGAAAAGGCATTTTGGTCTCATATGTCTCACATATACAAGTCTAAGAGTTTACCATTTACGAAACTAGACAACGGAAAAGAAATTGTGTCAGGAAGACAAGACATAGTTGATGCGCTTTATTATTATTATGAACAACAATTCAAGAAGCCCGAAATAAGTCAAACGGATCCCCATGATGTAGAAATTGAAAAAGAGTATAACTTATTGTTAAGTAAATTAAGAAATACGGACGCGAAAATAGAAAAGACAAATGCATTCGAAATAACAAAGTACATTAAAAAGCTCAAATCAAAAAATCCTCAGGTTTCGATCTCATCTCGAATTATATGATTAAGCTGTTGCCCCCTAGCGATATCGCCTGCTTAGCAAACTGCTTTAATGTATGGCTCGAAGAGCATCGATATCCAGAAGAGTGGAAAATAGCTAAAATAGTCACACTAAATAAATTGAGAGCTGGTATTCCACGATGTGATTAAACAAGGCCTATATCTCTTCTTGCCACACATTCTAAAGTCTTTGAAAAAGTAATATTAGAACGGGTAAGACACTGGGCAGAAAGTAATCAACTTGTGCCTTTGGAACAGTCTGGGTTCCGTCCTGGTGGTCTCCTGTCCACCCGAGTTCTATCTATCTATCAGGAAGTGAGCAACAATATGGCAGCAAATGTACCAACACCTGCCTTATACGTAGACTATCAAAAAGCATATGACAAAGTGTGGCATGAAGCACTCATGATTAAGTTATATCGTTTGGGTATGCAGCATGGCTTGCTTAAAATTATTGCATCGTGGTTAAAGAACAGGAGGGCTTACGTAGATTTTGGAGGTTCGAGCTCAAACATGTTCCATATATGTATTGGCCTTCCGCAAGGGAGTAGCTTAAGCCCATACTTATTTATTGTTTTCCATGATGATCTTATTTCTTGCTTCGGAGCGCATTCTGCACATGTATTCGCGGATGATCTGAACGTCTTGATACACCCCCCATTATCGTCACAACTTTCTCCACTGATAGAATATTTAGAAAACGAAGGAACTAAAGTCTGTAATCAAATTTCAGCCTATTCGAGGAAATGGAAACAACCGATAAATATTAGTAAAACAGTGGCCCAATTTTTTCATTCACAGGTGACCCTGCCCCCAATAAATATATTCATGGGTGGACAAAATACTGAAATGGTTAAGTCCTTTAAATATCTTGGTTTTACTTGGACTGGTAAAATGTCATTAAAACCAACAATTGACAGATGTACCGACAATATACGGAGGTCTCTTGGCAAACTAAAATGGTTAAGATCAGGAAAATCGTTGTCAACAACAGTATTACGAACTTTTTTTTTTGCATATACATTTCCACATATTGCTTGGCTATTTCCTCTTTTTCCGATGCTACCAAAAACCCATCAAGAAACTCTGCGACGTAAATTTCGAGCAGGGATGAGACTTGTTCATCGGTGTCCTTTTGTATCAAAACAAAATCTATTTGCAATAATCAATGAAAACCCTCTTGACTTCTATGTTAAAAATACATTAAAAACAGATTAAAGCAAATGAATAAGAATGATTTAGGACTTTCGCCTTTTTTCAATGATATATTTTTTTGGGACAGTTATAACAAAAGTAAAGGAGATAATATGGGCCACTTCTTCCGGATGAGAAGAGTGAAAAAATTGAAAGATAGACATGAGACTCTACTGCTTAAATGGATTGAGTTTGTTGATTAAATATCCATGTGTGCATCGCTGTGCCTTTCTTTTTATTTTTCCTGTGCCTCTTTTCCTTTTTTTCCTTCCATTTTTGTTTCTCACGTGCATTTTCTTCTTCTTTTTCTTTTGTTTTTTTTTCCTTTTTTCTCTCCTTATATTTTTTCCCCTCCTATAACAGCTTAAAAAGTAGTATGATAGCCTGTGGTAAAGAATATGAACTCTAAATATGCTGTTACAGATTATTATATGCTGTACTATTAACTTTAAAGTTATCCTCATGTAAGCGCTTCCGAGCGTAACAATAAAATAGCAATATCCAAAAAACAACGAATCTACCAAAGGCCAGAATAAAAACGAAGTCTTTTCATTCTGGTCATACAGTTATAGACATACAGAGCTATGCTTTCTTTGCTTTTGAATGTTAAATCAACTTTGAAAAAGAAATTTAATTTAATTTAAACTAATCATCAAAAAGAGAGAAAGCAACAAAAACAGCACGAAATTCGTTGTTACCATGAGAGTTGTCCTTGTCCAATATACACCTTGCCATTCAGATGCTTAGTTTGTATTTATTTTTAACTCTCGATTAAGTGCTTCGTAGGATGATTTAAGTGATTCCAATTCTTTTTTGAGTTGATCCACACAATTAAGCAATAGTTGATTTTCATTGGCCAACATGGACATCTTCAGCATTCGTGCTTTCTCTTTCTCTTTAGCTTTCTCCCGGGCTCTCTTTACAGCTTTATTGTTTTCCAATCGTCGATTAAGATATTCTTCGGAATGTTTGAGAACTTTTTTGTTTCCAAACCGAGTCCATTCTAGTTTAGAGCCAGCACGTCTTATGGGATCTTCTTGGTTGCCTTGACCGTGTTCGGAGTCGTTTGACATTGAATCACTCGATAGTGTTAACCTATCATCAATTACAGATATGATGGGAAGCGATGCATCGGAACTAACTGTGTTATCGTGAATCATTTCATTTTGTTGCTTTAGCAAAGTATCAGATTGATTGTCGAACATATCAAAACTAGAACTGAGTAGATCTTGAATAGGATCGAGTATGCTCGAATCAATAGATAAATCATCTGATTCATGTTCTTTCAAAGAATTATCATTAAATATGTTTAAAAAGTCATCGTCATCGAAAATATTAAAATTATTTGATGAATAATTTAGATCGAGGTTAGAAGACTGTTCGATGTCCGTCAATTTCGATGTGCTCGAGTGAGGCAGATTGGTAGACAATGCACTGACCAACGAACTTTCGAAGTTGGATATCTAAAACAAACAATAGCTTCAATATATAATTCGATTTGTTGTTGCAGCAACAGATTTGTCCATAGAAATAGAAAATATTCTGTTGCGTATGTCAACTATAGATTCGTAGCTAATATAATGCCTACCATATGCTCGGGATCGGATTCTAGTGAATTTTTCTCGATATTTATCAATGGTTGATTTTGAAACATTTCGTCTAAGTTCAAAGATCGACATAATAACTGTGTAGAATGATCAAAAGTTGCTGAAGAAGGATGGTTAGTTGAATCTGATTCCCGAGATTTTCGCTTGCCGAATAGACCAAATGTCACTTTGAACAGACGATTGTGTGTGTATACGTAGGCTTGCAATTTGTCGAATGAAACCTACTGCTGCGATAAAAAATGACGTGTAAGTCATTGCGAAATCTATCTGTTCGATGAGTATGCGCGTTTTTTTTTCTTCCTTTCTGTTACTTGTGTAATAACTTTCTTTCTGCAATAACGTCTACCAGTTGGAAAAAACCTCACTGAATAAAAATATTTTTTTATTCTTTCTCAGTGGATCGATCGTGTGAATGTCGCTGTTTGAATACGACTACACGCTTTGTCTACACTCATGTTCAAGCAGATTAACACTTGAAAACAGTCTAATGGATGAGAAAAATGAAATTCCGGTGAAACATACTTTGGTACGCAACACAAGAAATTTTGTAAGAATACCATCATTATACTTCTATCGATTGGAAATTGAAACGCATATATATGGGTACAATTGTATAATTAAACGAAGCAGTGAAATCGGTTCAACACGAGAGAAAAACGAATCTGTCTAATGGGAAAAATGCTTTTCAATTATAGACAGATGTCCTTCATCTATATGTATGCATATAAACATATATCAATACTCACTTAGGAAAAGCAAAAATTTAATTGGAAAGTGTTATAAAATGCAAGAAAACTGAATCCCTCTCATAAGAGCAAAGCAACTGAATAAGAGAAAAATGTACTGTGTACAAACCAGTACAGAACTAGGGGACAAGAGTGATATAACAGAGAAAAAACAGTATCCAAAGTACTACTATCAATAAAGGCAGCTACAAAACAGACTAATAAAATCAGAGTTCTCTCCTACCTCCACACCAGTTCAGCGATGAACGGTTGCTAAACACAAGCAACTAATGTCCTGATGCCATATCAATATTATCTGTGAGCTAACAGCTATCAATTCCATAGATCGTTAACTAAGTATGCTAAGAGATCGTCTCACAATTTTTTCGCTGAAGAACTATATATGTAATGAAGGAAAATAGTAATGATGGTTCTCGTTATCTAAAATACTTTATAATCGTATGATAAGGTTTCATGGATTGGATGATGTTCTGTTGTAAATTTAGTTTCATCGCATCAAAAACAACAATATGGGCTTATTCATTTTATTTCCTCTTAAAAACTTCATTCTTGTTCCTGATAGAAATGTTTTTCAACTTTTGATCTTTTTTCAATAAACATTATACGACAAGAGAATTAAATCCAATCTCATATATCCATTCAGTCATCGTTTGTGCTGTCCTTGACCGAAAATTTCACTTAAAATCACTATCATGTATTTGCACAGTTATCATGGAATTCTTCCCGTCCTTCTTCTTTTTTTACTGGACTCTCTTTTCTTACGCACTCATATTGAATTTCTATAGTGCTTGCAATTTTTAATGCCACAATCAGCATATTTGCAGTTATTATTCTATAAGAACCTTGTTGCCACTTAGTATTTCAGGGTGTGGGTATGGATGTTAGAGTATTCTCTTCACGCACACCCACAACCCATACAGGTATTGAATTTCTATGCAAACTTACGAGCAAGATCTAAGCAATGTAAACACACTTCGATTGAGCTTCGTATTGAGAATCTTGGGGAGCGACACAATAGTAGCGTTAGAAATGTTTTGGGTGCTGGTGTAATCCTTCTTGTTATCTACATCCCCATACCCACACTCTTTTCTCCTACGCCGAAATCTACACCCATATGTTCACTTTGAAAAGCTTTTTTTCGCTATCGGTGTCGATCAGAACAAATGGACTGCGTAACAATAGACGATTTTCTGGTAGAGAGGAGCTCTATGAATCTGGCGTTGTCAGAAAACAAATGTTGCTCACAATAGTATCTGTATTGTGACTTGATACGATTACAGGTCAAGTTATTTCCTCACTATTCTTTGTAATTTCTCTCAAAACATTTAAGTAGATGAATTGAAAATTGAGTAATATGTGTTTCATTCTTTTTATAAAGAGTAGATTCGCAAAGCTTTTCTTTTGCTCAAAAAAATGTGTCCGCAGATCAGAGAGAATCGTGCATTGAAGATTGAGAAGTACTGTGGCGTGTTTCTGCAGTTGTAAAGGTGTCCTGAACCATCGCTGAATTTTCATTAGCAAGGAGACACCTAGTACCACACTTCGCCAGTTTGCTTTGCCAGAGACATGGACTAGTGACATTAATTCCATACGCATGAAGTAGGCTCAGCTGATCGCTACATTTATTTTGGTGTTCATTGCTTGATGGCTAGCAATGGATGAGTAAAATATAAATTTGAATCTGAGAAAAAGCTACTTCTAATAACTGTATCAGTTATAAGGGTAGCTTATAGAAAAAGAAACAAGCTTACGTTGCCGGACCAGAAGGGAACGTGATCGATAAATCGACCAAAAGTTGCTTGACAGAAAGCACGATAAAGACGAGTGTTAATCACATGAAGATGGTAAACGGCATCAATTTTTTTTGGAGGACCACATGCAAAAAGATTGTCACGTATAACAGTGTAAAAGTTTTCGAGTTCGTAGATGAATTTGCTCGTCTCCACCAAGGTGTAGCTGGGATTTTCTTCCATAAGCATTTCTGTCATGTATTGTCGATCAGTGTCTGGAAGCAGGACGCGTTCACGGGCATCGCTGCATAAGAAACAGAGCAAGCCGAGAAATAGTGTGCAGAGAAACTCCATGAATGTTTGATGTTAACACTGCATTCTCTCTGTTTATTTATATCTTTCCATTAGCGTTGCTACTTCGTAAGAATGCCTGAAGAAAAGATTATTAATACACAACTGCGTCCAAAGAATAAAAAAAACATATACCTCGGCCGAAATGAAAGTTGGAAAAAAGAGAAGTGGCTCTTGTCACGCAGCAAAAGAAGTAGAAATACGGTTTCATTCAATTCCTCATTTTGATGCTTAACAAACATAATCGAGCGAATTAATACTGTTAGCCTGAAGTGAAAGAACATTAAGCATGAATATTTGTGTCGAAGAAATGAAAGAAAAAAAAACGAACTCCTTAAGAATGATACTCTGGAAAAAATCAGACTGGCGTACACTATGCAACGAAGGAAGTAAAGAGAATGTGGGTATGAATATGTCGCACGGGTCTCGATGCGTCGGCGCAGACGAGCTGCTTCCGAGAAACAGCCGTGCATGTTTGGTGCANTTCAGCTATAATATTCACAGAATCAATGTATTCATATTGTTTTATTTGTTTATACAATTGTATTGAACGTTGAGTATTAATGTTAAATAATTCTTTTTTGCCTTGATTAGTTAATATTGTTTGTTGTTGAGTTAACGGACTTATTTCACGTTTTGATAAACGAAGATAAAGAAATACTCGGCATTGAGGTTGTTCAGTATTATTTATACGTATTTGATTAAGAATACAACCAAGTTGTTGAAATGATAAAGGATATTCTCCTGTATATATAATTAAATCTGTTCTCCAATTTTTCGATTCATATTTCATCATTTCAATCCATGAATGATATAACCATCGAATTTCTGGGAAATAATGCGATTCTTGATGAGATGGATAATATACTATAATAGCTCGTTGAATAAATGAAGAATCCAATTGTGATGCTTGCCGTGGAAGATGTACATTTGACTGAATACAAATATAGTTATATATCAATCGAATAATTGAAATAATATTTTTGTTATTTATTACCTGTTTTATGCTATCAAAATAATTATTAAGAGATTGAAATATCACAAAACTATCAAGTAAAATAATTATAATTAGAAAAGATATGATAAATTTTCGACTTTTATATAATCGAATAGTTAATGACATTGAGTTATCTGTACCTAGAAAAATTGAAAAGAAATAATTAACAATGAATGTCTTAGAAAAGCAAAGCAAAACACTAAAATTCAATTCTTCTAATCAATTGTTTCAAAATTTAACCAGACAGCTATTACAACACTAATATAATACACAAAGTTTTTATTGTGTTCTTAGCAGTTAATGACACTTCATTTCTCTCTTTATATCTTAAAAAAATACAGGTCGAGCTTTTGTGTCAAATGTATGACAAACCGAACTCATCACACCCACGCCTGTCGTTTCATTCGCACGCTGCATCAGCGCCCTCAGAATCACCATGAGCAAGTTTTCCTCTCTGAATATCTTATCATACAATTATCCTATCATAAAAAGAAAGAGAGGTAAGTATAAAAAAAAACTACAAGTACAAATAATATCAATACAAACATGTGTAATATCTACATATACATGTAGTGATATTTTCACTATAAAGGTACAAACCGTAGTGGAAAAGTCAGTGTAATAGTAGGGAAACATCTTAAAGCTACTCAAATCAACATAGAAATTGAAAACACTGTTACTGTCGACGTTGTAGGCCTCTCTGATCCCATACGCATAATTGGAATATATTGGCCTCAAGGTCAAAAACGAAATCTCGATGATCTACGACCTTTCATAGTTGAAGGAACAATCATTAGAGGGAATTTTAATGCTTTATTAGAAGAATGGAACAGTCCATCATCAGATAAACGTGGAAGAATTTTAAAAGAATGGATAGATGAGAACAACCTCATATACGTTCCTTCCACTACACACACATCTAAGCGCTCTTTACGTAACCTCGATCCGACTTTTTCGAACATTGATGGTATGAGTGCACAAACTTTATTTTTTGGAACCAGTGATCACTGGCCCGTTGTAATTTCATGTGAAAATGTAGGCTTTGAAATAAAAGACTATTATCCACTTATTCGATGTAAGGCATTTGAAGGTATGTTGGCTCTTCTTGAGAATTTCTGGAGAAGAGAGTAAAATGACATGTCAGCAGATGAATGGTACCACTATTATACTCGGTTCCTTGCACCATTGAAAAATACCGATCATTTCTACCACCAAACATAATAGATAAGCTGAAAAAAGTCAGGCGTGTAAGAAATATTTATTACAGAGAAAGAATGAGCGGAAGTCTTAATGAAGAGACTCGTGTTCTATTGCGAGTAATGACACGTGAAGTAAAAACAGAAATCGGTAAATATAAATCAAATAGATGGCAATCGTTTTTATCAACAATTCAAGAAAAATATGATCGACTGGAAAAAGCATTTTGGTCGCATCTGTCTCGTGTCTACAAGCCTAAAAGTTTACCATTTTCAAAACTTGACAGTGGAGAAGAAATAGTATCAGGAAAACACGAAATAGTTGATGAGCTATATCGTTTCTATGAAGAACAATTCAAAACGACTGAAACAAATCATGCAGATCCTGATGATTTAGAAATCGAACAGGAGTACAACACTCTGTTAAATAATTTAAGAAGTTCGGATGAGAGAATAGAAAAAGCAAATGCCTTTGAAATAACAAAGTATATTAAGAAGCTTAAATCAAAAAAATCCTCAGGCTTTGATCTCATCTCAAATTATATGATTAAACTGTTGCCACCGAGCTATATCAGCTGCTTTGCAAACTGTTTTAATGTATGGCTCGGAGAACATCGATATCCAAAAGAGTGAAAATTAGCAAATATAGTCATACTCAATAAATTAACAGTAGGTATTTCGAGATGTGAGCAAACAAGACCCATGTCTCTTCTCGCTACACATTCTAAACTCTTTGAAAAAGTAATATTACAAAGGGTCAGGCATTGGGCGGAAAGTAATCAACTCGTGCCACCAGAACAGTCCGAATTTTGCCCTGGCTGTCTTCTTCCTACCCGAGTTCTCTCTATTTATCAGGAAGGAAATCACAATATGGCAGCAAACGTACCAACACTTGCTCTATACGTAGACTACCAGAAAGCGTATGACAACGTGTGGCACGAAGCACTATTAGTCAAGCTATATCGTTTGGGTATACAATGTGGCTTGCTTAAACTTATTGCGTCGTGGCTAAAGAACAGGCGGGTGTATGTAGATTCTGGAGATACGAGCTCAAACATATTCTATATTTTCACCGAGCTTTCACAAGGGAGTAGCTTAAGTCCCATACCTATTCATTGTTTTTCATAGTGATCTTATTTCTTGTTCTGGAGCACATTCTGCTCATATGTTTGCAGATGACCTGAATGTTTTGATACGCCCTCCTTTATCATCAAAATTTTCACTAATGACAGAATATTTAGAAAATGAAGGGACTAAAGTATGTAAGCAAATTTCAGCTTATTCAAGAAGATAGAAACAACCAATAAATATTAATAAAACAGGAGCCCAAATCTTCTACTCACAGGTAACCATACCCCCAGTAAACATCTTCATGAATGGACAAAAGATCGAAATCGTAAAGTCTTTTCAATATCTGAGATTTACTTGGACTTGTAAATTGTCCTTAAAGCCAACAATTGGCAGGTGTGTCGGGAATATATAGAAATCTCTTGGTAAATTGAAATAGTTAAGGGCGGGAAAATCTTTATCAACAACGGTTTTACGAACATGTTTTTTTGCCTATACCTTTCCGCACATCGCTTGGCTCTTTCCCATTTTTCCAATACTACCAAAAACTCATCGAGAAATTTTGAGGCGTAAATTTCGAGTAGGAATGAGACGTGTTCATCGGTGTCCGTTTGTATCAGAACAGAATCTATTTACGGTAACCAATGAAAATCCTCTTGATTTTTACGTTAAAAAATACATTACAAAAAGTTTAAAGCAAATATATAAATCGGACTTAAGACGTTCTCCTTTTTTTAATGATATATTTTTTTGGGACGATTTTAACAAAAGTGAAGGAAATAATTTAGATCGTTTTTTCCGGATGGGAAGAGTTAAAAAATTGAAAAATATACACGATACTCTATTGCTTAAATGGATCGAATTTGTCGATTAAATTTCCATGCGTGCATCGATGTGCCTTTGTTTAAGAGCTCCGTTTTTTTTCTTTTCTCTTGCATTCTCATCATCCTTATCTGCCTTTTTTCTCCCTTATGCATCCTGTCTCTTGATTTTTCTTTTTCTTCTTTTCTCTATTAGTGCTCTCTTTTTTCAGATTCTCTTTCAATTGTTTTTTTCCCTTTTTCGTTTCTTTCTTATGTTTGTTCTTTTTTCGTTTTATTTTCCTTCTGATTTCTCTTCCCAAAAAAGCTCAAAGCGTACTATGATAGCTTGATGTCAAAAATATGAACCCTTGTATATATTGCTATAGACTATTGCATGCTGTAATTTTAAATTTAAGTTCATCGATATGTAAGCGCTTCCGAGCGCAACAATAAATAGCAATATCAAAAAAAAAATATACATGTAGTGATACTTAATTCACGGAAGCAAAGGAAAAACTCCATACTGTAGCGTACTGTAAGGGTATGTCGACGCTACCTCTAGAAATTTTTAATTATTTCAACAAGAATATCAACATGTGTTACGACCATTATAGTTTGAATTCATTTTTATATACGAATCTCTGGCAATAAAGCTCAAATACTTCATCGAACTTAAGTGCATTGAAGTATTCTGGTTCTATTACCAGAGATACTTATATAAGATGAATTTAAACTATGATGGTTGTGACACATGCTGACACTATTCTTGAAATAATTAGAAATTTCTAGAGAATAGCATTAACATACCCTTGAAGTACGATGAGAAGTAGACCCAGTGAAGAAAAAAATGGCAAGAAATGATGATGCAAAATGAAAAAAATACCATTTTTGGTGACGAAAACGAACAATAAATTTGATATTTTTTAAATTCATCGATGAAAACCGAAATTTTAATTCATGAAAATCACTGAATGAAAACCACTTAAAGTGCAAAAAAATCTGGTCATGAAAAGGATAAATTCATCTGATTTAACTATTCATGCACCTAAATGGCTAGTTGTACTCAGACTTTTATACAAGTCTTAGCTGATTGCTCTTCGAAGGACTCTGTAATGAACTTGTCAAAAGTTCATTTTACTCTACTATCACATAAAATGGTAAAGTACATGTATTATTAAAAACACTTCACATATCTTAGAAGAAGGAGGGCGCGACATAGTCTCTCTCCTAACACATTTCGTTTGTTGAGAAAGTGGCACGTATAAGGGCAAGTTTGTAAAAAAAGATTTAAATTTAAATTAATCATTTATTTTCAAAAACAAATCGTGAGTGACGCATGGTATTTTTTGCAACAAAGCCATTGATTAAAATTCTTTGTATTTGAAAAAGGGATATAACTTTTCAGTCATTTGAAAAACGATTGAAATTGAGTGTTTCAAATGTAAAAGTAATGAAATTAGTCTGCTGATTTATTTTTTTGGAAAAACTGCAATCATAGAACAGAAATAATAGCAAAGTAATAAAAGTAATATAATGATTTTTGTTTTCGAGAATATTCAAAATCATATAATGAAAATGATGCCGAAAGTAATCAAAGCAATGTGATAATTCTAGCTTTTTTCGAAATAATCAAAATCATGCAATGGAAACGATGCAAAAATTATGAAATTGATGGAACTAATTTCATTTATGAGCATCATTAATTAAACAGCAGCTTTAAACTTCATTCTTTATTTATTTATAAGTTCAATTGTCGATGTTTCGTTGATTTACTCGACATTATCAAGACAGTATGAAAAAATTTTGACAACAAAAGAGATGCAAGTTGGCTCAAAACTTACTTTACCAAGAAAAAATTGAATATCTCCGTTACGACTCTAGCAAGCAGGCTGATTTTTTACCCAATAGTAGAGGCGTGTTCACCCTTTAAATCTATATGAACAAGGAGTGTCTTTGTTAATATTACTATTCACTTCAACGAAAAAAATGTCACTATTTCACAGATATAAATAAACAATATACAATGAAGAAGAACCAATTAATCAAGATAAAATGTAACTAATCAAATGAATTTTTGACTGTCACGCACCGTTCATTCATATACCTCTTCTCTTATTTTTTTCCTTTTCGCTCTAGCATAGTCCACATGGATAGTCTGCATGACGCTGCTAGTCACATTTGTATAGAATCTGTCTACCGTTGTTCTTCTTTTGTTCTTGATCATCCTTGTCCTTGTCTGTTCTTGTTCTTCTTTTTCTATCCTATCTCTACACCTGCAAACACATGATCTTTCAACTGGAGTTACACACTCAATATATGATAGAAAAAAGAAGGACAGACAAGAACAAAGCTGATCGAGAAAACAATGAACAAAGGCAGACAGATTTTATAAGAATGTGACCAGCGACACAGTGCAGACTATCCATGTGGAATATACTAGAGGGAAAGGGAAAAAAATAAAAGAGGCATATGAACGAACGGCGCTTGACAATCACAAATTCATTTGATTAGTTACATTTTATCTTGATAAATTGGTTCTTCTTTATTGTATATTGTTTATTCATATCTGTGAAATAGTGATATTTTTTGGTTGAGGTCCATAGTAGTATTTAGCAAAGACTCTCTCTAACCTTGTCCATATGGATTTAAAGTATGAACATATCTCTATGATTGGGTAAAAAATTAGCCCGCTTGCTCAAACCGTAATGGAGATATTCAATTTTTCTTCGGTAAAGTGATGTTCGGGTCATCCTGTATCAATTTAATAAAATCTCTGCTCATACAAGAAAAGCATCAAAAATCGAGAATAAAATAAGGTCCATATGAAAACACTGTTATGTTTCGTGCTTCTCGTGTTGCTTCTTTGATTCTATCTCACACTATAAATGTCTTTTTTTTAAACAAGTTGATATTCTTTAGAGAACTAATCCAATTTTTCTTTTGTTAAATGCTTGAGCTTTTGAGTAGTTACTTATTTTTATTCTTATATTTTCATTTACTTGATTTTTTCTTGCATTATACAATTGATTATTAACTGAATATAGAATATGTTGATAGTAATAAAATAACCCTTTTTTATTTGAGTACAAGATTATTAAATAATCTACGCATTATTTGTGTGAATGTTCATCTGACTTTTCATTGATATTGTAGTCGTTAATTGTTCATAATAAGAGATTGCGAAAAGTAATAAATTCATATAGTAAGAGGTACTCTCAGGCTACAGAGGAAACTTGGATGTCCTGGAGCTTTGTAAAGTCCCGGGAACTACTGTTTCTACCATGACACAACAAGTAAAAAAGATGGCTGAAACTTGTGTTCAATTAGCTTAAACATAAATCGAAGAACATAAAACTTTAGAAGATTTTGAACGAATGGCTACTCAATTCCAGTGAAATATCCATTTAATGTTGAAGCATGTCGAATATAATTTACCACCGAAATTTATAATGAAAAAATGATTTATTTTTTAAAGTTGATGAAGCAATTTTAATTGAAGGAAAAGCGCAAGCTACAAGTAATAAAATATAACAATTTATTAAACGATATCGAACTGAAGCTGTAACAATATATGTTCAAGCAGTTTCGCGAGAATAGTAACTTCAATTTAAAGAAATTAAATGAGTTATAGAAGATTGTTCTGAAGAAAATGAGAATGATGTCGATTCTGCATTATTTAAACATTATTATGATTTGCATGAAAAAGATTTAATTGAGAAGCTGAAAAATCCATTTGTTTTTCAGACGAACAATGACGAGAAT